ACAGCGCCCTCCTAAATTGTGTCCCTTAGTGGGACCAGAGTTCTCCCTCGCTGTTTGCTCCCAGCCCTCTGCTCAGGAAGGGCCACCTGGTCCGGCCCGGAGTCTGGGCTGGCCTGTTTTCCACCTCACCAAGCGTGCTCTGTTTTGCAGTGGGAGGTCTGAGGAGCCCTTGGAGGGGAGAGTGCAAAGAGCCAAGACATCCGCCGCCACACCCAGCCCAGGCACTGCCCAGCCAAGGCCACTCTCCCCGGACCCCGGAGACCCCGCACGCCCAGCCAAGGGAGCTCTCGCCTGGGACTCCGGGGCCCCAGCCAACTGAGGACACAACAGGCGGGGCCCCTCAGCTCCAACCTCCACTACCCCCAGAGCCCCCAGAGCGGAACAAGTCTCCAAGCCTGAACTGGGGCAAGGAGGAGTCTGGGACCTGGGAGCCATTGCCTCTATCCTCCCTGGACCCGGCCCCTGTGAAAAACCCCAGCTCAATGGAGAGGAAGGCAACGCTCCCTGAACAGGAGCTGCAGCAGCTGGAAATGGGTACGGGCAGCCACGGCCGCGGCCCCCGGGTCCCCGGGCACAGGCCCGGACCTCCGCCAGGGCCTGTGCACCTGCCCCCGGAGGTCCGCTCCTGCGGTCCAAGCGGCCAGACACACAGACAAGCCATCCGCTCCCGGTTGACAGCCATCCTCTACGTCTCTCTGCAGAACTATTTCTGAACAGCCTGTCCCAGCCCTTTTCGCTGGAGGAGCAGGAGCAAATTCTCTCGTGCCTCAGCATTGATAGCCTCTCTCTGTCCGACGACAGTGAGAAGGTAAGCTGGCCGCGGACCCTTTGTGTCCCGCTGGTGAGTGGGCTACGTGCGAGCAGTGGTAAAGGGAGGCTGAAGGGAATCACCCCTTCCTTTCAGAAGGGCTCCCCACCAGAGTCGCACCCACTGTCATTTCAGAACCCATCAAAGGCCTCCCAGAGCTCGCGGGACACCCTGAGTTCGGGCGTGCACTCGTGGAACAGCCAGGCCGAGGCTCGCAGCTCCAGCTGGAACATGGTGCTGGCCCGGGGGCGGCCCACTGACACGCCGAGCTATTTCAACGGTACAGCCCAGCTCTCGCCTGCTCAGCCGCTCCACGAGACCTGAGCCACCTGGGGCTGGGGAGTCCAAGGGAGTTTAGGTCTCCCTTCCCCTGGCAGGCGAGGGGGGAGGAAGGCTCCTGGTGCCCAGACTGGAGTGGCCATTAGGTCGGTTTAGAGCAAAGGCCCTCTCCGATTGGCCAACAACCTTTCCTGGTCAGGCAGCGAAGGCCCATTGCCTCCATGGGCTGCTGATGGAGTTCCAGAAGGCCCCTCGCTGGGGGCACAAAGCAGTCTCTCCTGGCCTGGAGTCAAGAAATAATGTCTTCGGAAGGGAAACAAGGAACAAGATAAGAATCAGCATCTCCTCTGGAATTTCAAGTCCTAAGACGAGATATTTCCCAGCGTGGCTGCGTAGGTTACGCTGTGATTTGGATAGAATGAGGGTTTCAGCAGCTCCCTGTTCCCCGGCTCTTCCCAGCACCAGTGTGACATGTAGCCTCAGGCCCCCATGGCCTTGCCGATGGCCTCTCCAACTCAGAGAACGTTACAGCCTGAGTTGACCGCAAGCTAATTTAAGAGTCTGCGTTTCCACTTCCATTCTGCTTTGTGTGCAAGTTGGAATACTAGTTCCCCAAAAGAGCCAACCTTAGCTCTTTGTGTTGTGTAAGCCCAGTTCTAGGGTTGACAGAAAATTACCAGGAGGAGCCAGCAGGTGTGTGACATTAGGGCCACTCCAGCCTAAATGTTACGTCAGCTTCCTCATGGCTGTCCTGTGTCCCTCTGCCTGGGGCTTCATAGGGAGCCACCGGCCACTCCGCTGACTGTCACCTTGCCTGCCTTCTAGGTGTGAAAATCCAGATACAGTCTCTCAACGGCGAGCACCTGCACATCCGGGAGTTTCACCGGGTCAAGGTGGGGGACATCGCAACCGGCATCAGCAGCCAGGTAAGGGGCAGGTACGTGCTGACTTAGAGCCCGTGTACCTGGCCGAGCCCTCTGGGAGGAAGGCTTTTGAATAAGGAGAACTGGCATGTAGGGAGTGGCTGGCTTCAGATCTCCCCCGAGGTCCCAGGGCAGGCTGGGCAGTGGCAATGGAAGGTCCTCAGGACCTACACTTGGGCCGGATGAACCTCTCGGAGTCCTCTAGGCCTTCAGGACTGCCTGCTCAGCTGGCGGGAGACCTCAGCAGGCACCTCTAGGCAGCCTCTGAGCCCCGTGCCACAGTCTCAGACTCACTGATCTGCTCCGCCCCCAGATCCCGGCCGCAGCCTTCAGCTTGGTGACCAAGGACGGGCAGCCCGTGCGCTATGACATGGAGGTGCCGGATTCGGGCATTGACCTGCACTGCACCCTGGCCCCTGACGGCAGCTTTGCCTGGAGCTGGAGGGTCAAGCACGGCCAGCTGGAGAACAGGCCCTGAGCTAGCCTCCCACCGCTGACTCCACTCCGAGGGAGGCAGCCGCCTCATCGGTGCTCGGCTCTGCCCCTGGCACCCGGGCTCAGCCTGCTCCCAGGGACCTGCCACCCCCTGGCTCAGTAGGGGGACAAGGTTGTCCCGTGCCCTGCCTGACCCCACCAGGAGAGCACCCTGTGCCCACATGGGGAGGAGGAGGGCAGCAGGAGACCACTTCCCGTAAGTGGGGAGTGAAAAGGGTCTGTTCTGCCCTGGTCCCCGTGAGCTGGCCTGACCTATTTGAATCAGTGGCCCCTTGCTGACTGTCAGGGGAGCGTAGCTTCCGGCCTGGGTCGGGAAGGAGTGGGCAAGTCCCTCAGCCTCCGAGCAGATGGGAGGCTGTCGAGTGTCTGAGGACCCACACCCAGGTCTGGTACAGGAGCGGACCAGCATCTGTACCTACCGTGGGGTGAACGCGGAGCCCTCTGACCCCCTTGTGTGGCCATCGAAGCCCCTTTTAGATCTAGGAACTTCGCCGACAGGGTCAGGGACTCCTGACGCTGGGAAGTCTTCCTAGGAGACCACGGCACAGCATCAGGGCATAGCAACATAGGTCCGGAGCCGGACTCAGCTTCCGCCAGGACCACAGGTGTCTAAGTGAAATGGTTCTCAGTCCCCAAGCACGTGTCCCGTCGCTGCTAGCCACCAGTCTCTCCCAGAGCAGCAGGCCTTGAGCTGTGGCTACAGACCCGGCATGGCCCCTGGCTCACTGGCCCTCTGCCCTCTCGGTCTGTCCGAGTGAAGGGTGGCAGGAGCCCAGCCCGCTAGGAGCTGGGCCTACAGACGGGCCTACAAGCGGGCTGTGATCCGTGTGCAAGAAAGTGGCAGGCGCTGGCGCTCCTGTCCCCTCCCGGCAGTGGCTTTAGACATCGTGCACCCCAGTTTCCTGAGACACAGCCTGGGCCTCACACTCACTCTGGCCCTGCCGTGCCCCTCTCTTCGGGGGGGCATCGCCAACCGCACTTTGCACTCTGATGACCTCAAAGCACTTTCACGGCTGCCCTCCAGGAGGGCAGGTCGGTGGCTCTGCACGCACATCAGCAGGCTGGGAGATGGGGTAAAGGGATTCGAATCTTGACCTGTCTCCATGCACATGACCCCTCAAACCTCCGGATTTCTTTAAGATGAGCCCCCCCACACCATACCCCATTACCCCAGCCCAGTCTCTTCTTCGATGGGGGGGGGCTGATCAGGACTCATGTAGCATTAATCAACTGTGAATCCTTGTGTGGGGGCTGGCTAGCCTCTGCTCCTGGAGGTGAGGGGTGTCCCCTGGGAGTTCTCCTCGGGGAGAAGCTCATCCCGGTTTCTTGCCAAAGTGGCCTCTGTCCAGCTATCCACATGAAGCCATTCTGCTCCCCAGGGAGAGACCCCCCCCCCCCCACCAGCCCCCAGCACGTGAAGAGCTGCAGCCTTTCCGTACTGCAGAGTTTGGGTGGTACTCTTTGTAAGCAATAAAGTTTGGGGTGATGACAAATGTGTTAGGCCGTGGCTGTCCCCACTCTCGCCTTCCTGCTTTCAGAACCTCAGATCCTAACAGCTGCCTCCCTGTGCCTTCTTGGTAGCATCTTCTCACTTCTGCCATTTATTTTGGGCAAGAACTGTTTACAACCCTTGAATGTGGTCACTTTTCCCACCACCCCTCCCAGTGGGCACTTCCAATCCCACTTTTGACCTATCAATTCAGACCAGTTAGGCAAGATATCCCACCCAGTGGCAGTAGGGAAGTCCCTGGCCAAACACTGCCAGGCTGAGGAGGAAAGGGCGCCAAGACCTGGGCAATGGCTGGCCGTGGAGAGGTGGGGGGTGTACCAGGAGCCTGGAATGAATACGGCCCCATCCTCTCCTGTCCCTGAGGCCTGGCTTCCAAGGAGCAGAACTGGGAGCCAGCTGAGACTCCCACCCCTGAGCTAGCAGAGATGACTTTCCAGGACAGGCGCCCTTCTGAGGATGGAAGCTACTTGGGGGAGGGGGGGGTTCACGTCGGGCTCCACACCCCCTGAAGCCTTGCTCAGGTAGCTGTGTGCACATGGGCACATGCAGACCTTGGGGTGCAGGCTGCAAGTTCGAGGTTCAGCGGCTTCCTGGAGGGGCCCTGCCCCCCAGGAAGGGGCAGGTGCTAAGGCCATCCAAGCTTACCGGTGGCGGCTCCCTCTGGGCCTGAGGGGCAGAAGAGCAGAGCAGCCCAACGTCTGCAGAGAGTGCTCTGGGTGGCTCAGCCTGCTCAGGACACCCCACAGCGGCTGCCCCGCCCACAGGTCCCGAATCCTGAGCGGGTTTGGTTTTTGTTGTTTTTTTTTTTTTACCTCTCCGTCCTTGGGGTCGGGGCAGGGACGTCACAGAGGCGGCGACATCACAGGCGCAGGCGCCCGCAGCATCTCCAGCGCCCCCCACAGCCCCCAACCAAAGAGCGCACTGGAGGCGGAGGGGCAGCAGCCACCAGCCCGCTCCCCGCCTCCCCGACAGAGCCTCGATCAGCATGGGGGTGACAGGTGGGAGCGGGCTGGCGCGTGCCCCGAGGGGCGGGGGCGGGCGGGGCGGGGATAGTGAAAGTCGGGGGTGGGGCGGGGAATCGGCCCGGGGCCCCTCCCCCTGCTCCCAAAGCCCGGGGCGCGGGGAAGGTAGGTCGACCCCAAACGTCCATGCCCTCGTCCCCAGACTGCAGCGCCCAGCCTCCGCCCTGCGCGGTGCACAGGCTTGTGCCCTGCACACGGAGTATGCTTTGGAGTAAAGGCTGCAGATTCAGCCCACTCTTGCAGGGATTCTGGGCAAACGGAAAGAATCGTGGCCTTATGCCCAGGAAACGACTCATAAATTGTCCCAAACGACTGATAACCCCAAAGTCATGTTCAGTTGTTTCTGGTTGATTGGAGCCTTTGCAGAAGGAAGCAGTTGGCTTCCACAAATACTGAGCGCCTCCTTCGTCCCTTACACTCTGCTCTGTAATAATGAGCAAAGCTGTTTGCCCCTTAGATTTCCACTGAAGTGGGGGTTTTCTTCTCGGGACCTTCTCACCCAGGAGGACGTGGGCCAGCATTTAAATTGTGCCAAGAACCAACAACTGGAGAGCAGCTTTTCCCTTTCCCAAACCCGTTGGGTGACCCACTGATGCAGACGCCTTAAATCACCCCTGTCAAATTTGGTGCATCTCTTTCAGCTTTTACTCTTGTGCTGGGCCCTGAGTTTGAGGAGTTAACAAAAAATTAAAATATGGCTAGGACAGCTAGCTGTGTTACACAGATGATGACATTGGAGAGGTGGGTTGGCCTGTCAGGGATGAGTAGGGTTTTGCCAGAGGAAAGACTTCCTAAGTAACTGAAGTGTAGCAGGTGCAAAGGCACTGAGGCACAAAAGGATCTGCTGTGCTCTGAGGGAGCTTGGGCTTGGAGCAAGGAGGGAGCTGGATACCAGGAACTGCAACAAGAGGGCAGAGGTCAGACCATACAGGATCTCTGAAGCCACTCTACAGTCTGGATGCGACCAAAGGCAGGTCACTCTGGGGTCATTAAGCAGCCCAAGTTGGAGGGAAATATGGTTGCAGTGGTCCAGCTAGAAGCCTAAAGAGATTTCAAACAACACAGTGGTTAGCATCATGGGGTTCAGAGCCAGTCATGGCACTGCTCTTAGCCCATGTGTATCCTGGGCAGTTTCCCCTTCTGTGAGAGCAGAGTCGTGACTGTTTGGGCATAAAGTGGTGAAGAGGATAGGATGTATGGGAACCACTCAGCATGGAGTGCCGGCAGGTGATCAGTGCTAGGTTTGTGTTGAGTTTGGTGTTAGGAGATGAGTAGGAGTGGGGATGGAGAAAGGGACCTATGCAAGGTCAACATCAGAGGTAAGGAGGTCAGAAGCTGGGGAAGTGAGAGGGTTCACAAATAACCAGGTTTCTAATTTGGGTGATAGAATGAAGGATTATCGGGGAGGGGGCGATTACCAGAGGGGAGGGGTTAATCATGACGCTAGTGATTAGGAAGGAAGATGGATCAGGCATGCAGGCGAGTTGGCCACACTCGAGTCTAGACACGCAGGGTATGAACTTGAGGTTAAAAATGGAGAACAAGCCACGTGGCTTGGCAGGGTGAGAGGGATGAAGAGTTCATCTCTTTGCACAGGCTTTTGCTGAGAATCCACCTTGCAGACTCTTATTTGCAGGGGATCAGAGATTCAAAGTGGCAGCCCATTGGGGACGCCTGGGTGGCTCAGTCAGTTAAGCCGCTGCCTTCGGCTCAGGTCATGATCCCAGGGTCCTGGGATCGAGTCCCAAATCGGGCTCCTTGCTCAGTGGGGGAAACTGCTTCTCTCTCTGCCTCTGCCTGCCACTCTGCCTGCTTGTGCTCTCTCTCCCTCTCTGACAAATAAATAAAATCTTTAAAAAAAAAAAAAAGTGGGCAGCCCACACAGTCTGCCCCCCCTCTGATTAAGGAATCAACAAGAGTCCTGTGCTCAAAGGTCTGCAGGGACCAGGTCTGGGCGGGGGTAACTGGAGGAGATGCCATGGGGTAGAGTCCTGAAGGTCTTCAGGAAAAAGTGAGCACTGAGTATCTTCCCAATAGAAAACAAGGGACATTTCAGGAATAGGAGACATCCAAGGTTCTGACAAGGGAGAGATCCTCCCCCTTAGGGAGAAATGTGCTATCAATGACTGGAGTTCGATCTAGAGCTCCGGAGAAGTAGGAATAAGAAATCGAGATTGGAAGGGGGCGCCTGGGTGGCTCAGTGGGTTAAACCTCTGCCTTCATCTCAGATCATGATCTCGGGGTCCTGGGATCCAGCCCCGCATTGGGCTCTCTACTCAGCGGGGAGCCTGCTTCCTCCTCTCTCTCTGCCTGCCTCTCTGCCTACTTGTGATCTCTCTCTTTCTCTCTGTCAAATAAATAAATAAAATCTTTTTAAAAAGTCTTAAAAAGAATAAAAAATAGAGATTGGAGGATCTTCTATGGTCCCAGCCATAGGCTTGGAAGTCCCAAGAGGGCACAAACTGTGTGTGTTCATCACTGTGTCCCCTAGCACAGTGTCTGGCCCTTAGTCAGGGGTTCAATATTTAATTTTTTTTTAAGATTTTATTTATTTACTTGACAGAGACAGATCACAAGTAGGCAGAGAGAGAGAGAGGAGGAAGCAGGCTCCCTGCCGAGCAGAGAGCCCAACGTGGGACTTGATCCCATGACCCTGAGATCATGACCTGAGCAGAAGGCAGAGGCTTAACACACTGAGCCACCCAGGTGCCCCAATATTTAATTTTTTTAAAGATTTTTATTTTTTTATTTTGAGAGAGACAGAGTGAGAGAGAGCATGAGAGGGGAGGTCAGAGGGAGAAGCAGACTCCCCATGGAGCTGGGAGCCCGATGTGGGACTCAATCCCAGCACTCTGGGACCATGACCTGAGCCGAAGGCAGTTGCTCAACCAACTGAGCCACTCAGGCGCCCTCAATATTTAATTTTATCAAAGAAATAGATGCATATGATTAAAGAGCCTGAAGAGCTTGATATTCAGTGATGAAAAGCAAGTATCCCCTATAACACACCACCAATCTCACTCCTCAGAGCAGCCACGATTGTTTCATTAGAACCATTTTCTGCCTAATTACCTTCTTATCTTTCTGCAAGCTCATGGACTCTTTCTTGGTTTATCAGTTTTAGATATTATCACCTTCTTGCTCTAATGGAGCCACCCTCCCCCATTCTCCCAACATCATTTTTAGATCTGCTGGTGCCTTTGTAAGTTTAATATACTTATGTCTTTATTTTTCATCACTTTAGATAATATCTTTTCATACCACACATAGTAATATGAAGTTTTTAGTGCCCTTGATTCTTCCCTTCAGCTTCTTCCCTCCCACCTCCCAATGATGCTAACCTGTATTTTTATTTTTTTAAATATCAAGGTTGGTAACATTTACATTGTCCTAAAGCCACAAATATATTTTCCAATTGATATTTATATGTTGATTCTGAAAGTTGAAAACTGGACTTACATTATTGTGACTCCTAACTACTGTTCACGGCAGAACCAGGAAAGGTATCACAGTTACCTTTTCTTTCTCTACAGCTTTTTGTTTTTCCTGGAGTTTCTAGTTGCCTTTTCCTTATGTTCTTTGGTTTTATCATACTCTTAGTTTTCACCACCCTCTACAGCTAATCAACTATTCTGTCAGGTTTTGTTTCAGAAATCTACTCTCCAGAACCCTTCATCTTTTTGCCTCTATACAGTTAAAATCCCGGAACTTAGTTGATTTCCTGGGGTGGACCCCTATTTCCTTCCTGGCTCTCTTGTTTTATACCTTTATTTTGTTTTAGCACATCCTCAAATAACTTCCTTTAAAAAAGAGGAAGTAAATTTCCTGAGTCCATCCATGTCTGAAATGATAGTTTGGCTGGATATAAACCTATAAGTTAAAAACATTTTCCTCAGAATTTTAAAGACAGCCCTTGTTGCTAACATTGCTGCCAGTATAATTGACCCCCCTCCCCTCGTAGATGACTGGTTTTTTCACTTTAGAAACATTTAAGAATTCTTTGTTCCTGGTGCAATGAACTTTGACAGAAGGATCTTTTGACATCTATCGTGCAGGGCTTTTGGTGAACCCTCTTAAGCCAATGACATCATCATTCAGCTCATGAAAATTTTTCTCTTTCCTTTTCCATGTTCTCTATTCTTTCTAGATCCTCTTTCTATAACTCAGAACTGACTGCCTCTTAATCATTTTCTCTCACATTGTCTTGATATTTTGGTTCTACTTCCTGAGAAAATTTTCTGCTATATTTTCCAAGTCTTTTTGCCAAAAGTTCTTTCTTTTCTTAATTTTTTTAAGAGCATCCTATTCTTGCTTTTTGGATGTAATACCTATTGCTAAATATCTACATCTCGGAATCTCAAGATTTTAGAGTATATTTAAAGCTCCTTTCTGTTTCCCAAATAACCTCTGGTATTATAGTCATCTTTTCTCTTGGTCTGTCAATTGCATGTGGGCAGTTTCCTCAAATGTGTCGTCATGCTTAGCTGTTCATATTTAAGAGTGAAATCATAAAAAGCTGATTTGGAGGGCTCCCGGGTGGCTCAGTGAGTTAGGCCTCTGCCTTCAGCTCAGGTCATGATCTCAGAGTCCTGGGATGGAGCCCCGCATCGGGCTCTCTGCTCAGCCGGGAGCCTGCTTCTCCCCCACCTTCTGCCTACCTATCTGCCTACTTGTGATTTCTGTCAAATAAATAAAATCTTTTTAAAAAAGCTGATTTGGAACCTGTAACTACAGGACTGATTCCCTGGCAGATGTCACTTTACGATGATCAGGCAAGAAACAGACATATCTCTGTCTGGTTCAAGAAGATCAACAAAATTGACAAATCTCTAGCCAAACTGAACAGGACAAAAAGAAAGAAGACAGAAATTACCAACATGAGAAATGAAAAAGGAGGCATCATTACAGAATCTACAGATATGAAAAGGATAACAGAATACTATAAACACCTTATGCCAATAAATTCGCCAACTTAGATGACATGGATAAGGAAACTCCAGGCCCAGGTTCACAAGCTTCACCTGTGAATTCTGCCAAACATAAGGAAGAAATTATACCAATTTTATGCAAACTCTTTCAGAAAACTGAAGAGAGAATACTTCCCAACTCATTCTATGAAACCAACATTATTCTGGTATCAAAACCTGATGAAGACAATGTAAGAAAATTATGCACCGATATACTTCATGAACCTCATGTGAGATTTCTTTCAAAAAAGTTAACAAATCAGGGGCACCCGGGTGGCTCAGTTGTTAAGCGTCTGCCTTAGGCCCAGGTCATGATCCCAGGTTCCTGGGATCGAGCCCCACATCAGGCTCCCTGCTCTGTGGGAAGCCTGCTTCTTCCTCTCCCATTCCCTCTGCTTGTGTTCCAGCTCTTGCTATCTCTCCCTCTGTCAAATAAATAAAATCTTTTTAAAGATTTTATTTTTATTTACTTATTTGAGAGAGAGAGAGAGCATGAGAGGAGAAAGGTCAGAGGGAGAAGCAGGCTCCCCACTGAGCAGGGACCCCGACACGGGACTTGATCCTGGGACTCCAGGATCATGGCCTGAGCCAAGGGCAGTCATTTAACCAACTGAGTCACCCAGGCACCCCAAATAAATAAAGTCTTTAAAAAAAATAGTTAGCAAATCAAATTCAACAATGTATAAAATGATAATACATTATGACCAGATGAAATTTATCTCAGGGATGTAAGATTGATTTTAACATTAAAAAAATAATTTATTTCACCATAAACAGAATATAAGAGAATTGTTAACAGAGTAATATATAACATTGTTTGTGTTATAGCATATTATATATATCATATAATATATTAACAGAACATAAAAGAAAAACAGGGGCACCTGCCTGGCTCAGTTGGGAGAGCATACGACTCTTACTCTGAAGGTCATGAGTTCGAGCCCCACAGTGGGTGAAGAGATACTAAAAAACAAAAGAAAAATAAAATAATATAAAAGAAAAAACATATAGTCATCTCAATAAATACAGAAAAAGCATCAGACAAAACCTAACATCTCTTCCTAACTAAAAACTAAGTGAACTAAGGGGCACCGGGTGGCTCAGTTGATTAAGTGTCCAACTCGATTTCAGGTCATGTCATGATCTCAGGGTCTTGGGATCGAGCACCATGTTGGATTCCACGCTGAACGTGGAGTCTGCTTAGGATTCTCTCCTTCCTCTATCCCTCCCTTGCCTTGTTTTCATACACGCTCTCTCTCTTTCTCTCCAAAAAAGAAATCTGTAAAAACTAAGTGAACTAGGAATAGAAGAGAACTATCCTCAATGTCATAAAGGGCATCTTTGAGGGAAAACTACAGCTAACATCATATTTAGTGGTGAAATACTGAATGCTTCTTCCCTAGATTAGGAACAAAACAACACGTCCACTCTCAATTCGATTCAGCATTGTACTGAACACTGTTCTCAGTACACTAAAGCAGAATAAGGAAATAAGAGACATCCAATTTGGAAAGGAAGAAGTAAAACTGTCTCTTGAGTCACACACATACTTTATTTTTAAGTTGTTTAAGTAATCTCTACACCCAACCCGGGGCTTGGACCCACAACCCTGAGATCAACAGTCACGTGCTCTAGCAATTGATTGAGCCAGGCGCCCTGAGTCACACACATTATTGTTTTTGTAGAGAACCTTATGGGATCTACAAAACTAAACCAAAACAAAAAACTAGCACCGATAGGATTTTAGGATGGTTACAGGATATACATTTCTATACACGCATCCAGCGGTTGGAAACAAATCATTTCACATGCTATAGAATGTCACCTGAGTCCCTGACAGAACATTCCCAAGTTGGGCACAGAAATCCCAAGCTGAGTCAACCTCAGACTTTTGCTTCCACCCCTCCAGTGCCACGATGAGGCTCACACCTAATATTTTCTCTTCCTATCCACACCCCATTCTGTTCATGGAAGGGTTTAGGCAATGGGTGTCGATTAGATTGTTGAGGGAAAATTTGCAAGCGAGCAAAGGAAGGCACTGAGGCGAGAGGCCTGGAGAAAAGCAGCACTGGGGGCAGATGGAGCTAGAAATGAAGATAGACGTGAAGGAAGCCAATGGAACATGGCAGTCAAGTTGGTGGAAGGGTCCAGAGACCACTGAGCCAGCTCTTAGGAGCCTGACCGTGGTAGTACGCTCCTAGCCCAGCCATGCAGCTGATCCAAGAGGCCCAGGCCCAGGAGGAACATGGATGTCGCAAATCCCAGACACAGAAACAGCCTCTACATCTCTAGAAGGAGGCCAGGGCACACTGATCCTTTGGATATAATCCTGGGAGCGATTCTTCTCAACCAGAGCCAAGGCCATCATTTCCTGCCACACTCCAGGCTCAGGGAGATCCGGCTTTCCCACTGCCATGACCAATCCACCATCGACCCCCATCTACCACCCTGGGGAGCATGGGAGAATGGGACAGCCTGGTGCCCCACCCCCCCAACCCCAGATAATGAAAAAGAAGCATCTTCAGTAAAAGATACAAGCTCCAGGGAGGCGACTGGGGTGCAGAAACCTTCCCCAAGGCTATGCTCAACCTCTTCTTCAGAGAGGGATGGGAACACTGCAGTCAGCATCCCCACAGATCGAATGCCGGGGGCGAAAATTCCCCAGGTGGGTGACCCCAGGATGAGAAGCCTGGAGGAGAGGAAGGACTTCAGGGCAGAAGGGGCCAGGATTAGGGAGAGTGCCAGATCTGAAGCCTGGCCAGAGAAGAGAGAGGAAAGGGGGCCAAGGACCAGGAATGGATGGGTTCTTAGGGGTCCCCACCCAGTTACAGACGCCTCATAGGGTAGCACGTGGGGCAGGGGAGTGAAGAGTTTTCAAATCTGCATCCAGCTCCTGGTGTTGGCAACCCTCGGCTGAGGGACCTTGGGCAAATGAACTTCTTGTCATTTTTTGTGTTGAATCAATGAGATAAAGCACAGAATGTGCCCAACCCGTTGCCTGGCTAGCAGCCCTCAAGAAACAGCAGTGAAACCTGTTAGCATCCGTCCTCGGGGAGAAGGGTGATGGATTAGGGAGAGTGAAAGGAAAGGCAAATTCTAGCACAGAGGGGAGCAGATGTGGAGGGCAGGGCTGGTGACGCTGGAGAGAGGAGGGAGCAAGGGGCAGGATGGGAGAGGCGGTGGTGAATGGGCTGAGATGCAGGACAGGGAGGGAGGGAGGGGGTAACTAGAGCAGTACCACCTGCCCAGGGTTCCAGAATGCCCCAGAGACATCTCCCCCTGCAGCTCCTCGGCCCTCACCTCCTTCTCCCTGCCAGGTGCCAATGGATTCCCCTGCTGTGGCAAGGAGTCAGTGGACATTGTGGAGACGCAGTGAGAACCAGTCCCTCACCCTCCAGGACCACCAACCCTTACCCCCTGCCACCACTGCCAAGCTTTCATATACCACCCCCCCCAACCCAAGATCTCCCTCCATCTTGCTTCTTTCCAATATCTCCTCAAGGGCAGTGTTGGGGGGGGAGGGGAATCCTACCACCCCCCCTTCTGCTACTGTGTCCAGCCTCTGACATTAATGAAGGACTGAGGGGTGGTGGGGTACACTCGGGGACATGGATGGGAACTGAGCTCTTCTGGTTGCCTTGCTCTGAGTAGAGTGGCCTGAGGTGAGGGGGAACCCGAAGCCTGAGGAAGGAGAGGGAGGCACAGGGGCTGAGCACTGAAGGGAAGGACCGCGCTAGCAGCACATGGCCAACAAGAGCTGAGGGGAGCCTCCACACACACCCCTGCCTTTGAGATCTGCCAGGCTGTGGTTGGGCAGCTCAGGAGGAGGGCGTCACCCTGGGCTTCTCCCTCTGTTGGGAGCCGCCTTCTGGGCACCAGTCCTCCCGGGGGAGCTCACTGGCTCATGGGAATACTTGATCAGAAGGAAGAATCCTGGGCCTCACCTCCAGCTGACTGGATCCCTCTTTGGGGTAGGGGCTCTCCAGGCACCTCCCAAACTCACTAAAGATAGAGAATGTTGCTCCAGAATTCTTGGTGGGTGCAGGGACTGTGAGGGAAATGGATGAGCTGCGGGGGTCTTGCCAGCCTCTGTACAGGAGAGGGAATCTTGAGGGCCCCAGAGACCTCCATTCCCCCCTAAAACCACCCCACCCACCCCCCGGAAGCCTGTCATCCATTCTGTCCCCTTCTTTCGTAGCAGTGACCTAAACCAACAGCAGCCGTTCGAAGAGGAAGAGGAGATCGAGGTAACCGTGGGAAGGAGCGCCTCTTAGGGGGAGGTGGGAGGTAAGAGGCTGGACTCCTTAGGGCCCGTCTTCTCGAAATCCTTGCCAATCGTGGGAGCCTACACCAGGCCATGCTGGTGCCCTCGTTCCCACCTACCCTCACCAGCACCCCACACTGTCTCCCTGCCCCAGGTGGGTCTCTGCAAAAGGGACCAGGAGGGGAGGAAGGCTCAGGAGAGGGGGACAGAGACTTGGTCCCAGAAGGACCTCAGGGCCAGGGGCCTCTTCAGCTTCAGTTGAAACTTTTCAGCTGGAGAAAGAATTGCTGGAACTGGAGTGCACTCACAAAGTGGACCTGGACATAGAGCACGAACTAGAGCAGGAACTAGAGCGGGAACTAGAGCTGGAGACGGAGCTGGAGCCGGAGCTGGAGCTGGAGCTGGAGCCAGAACTGGAGCCAGAGCCGGAGCCGGAGCCGGAGCCGGAGCCAGAGCCGGAGCCTGAGCCGGAGCCTGAGCCCAGGGACCCCGAGCAGCCGGAGTCTAGGACAGAGTCCCTCCAGCCCCACACGCCGCGGCACACCAGCCTCTGGAGTTTGAGGTCGCATTCTAGCTACGTGAGTTTGCCAGAGGAGGACCAGGCGTCCACCAACCATCGCTCTATCCGTGTGCAGACCTCTAACCATCTCTTCTGGGCAGACAAACACATCCAGGCCTCAGAACACAGCCTGCGGCGGGCGATCAGCAATAACACAGGTAAGACCACTAGCTGTCAGGACCAGGAGTCTGACCTCGAGGACGCCTGTGTGTGCTGCACAAAGCAAATCGAAAACCCCAGTGCCCAGCCAGCGCCGCCCGCCGCCGACTCCCAGCAGCCATCAAACCCCCCACCGCCCTCCTCCAGTCCCTCACTGGGCATTGACCTGGCCGATCTGGTCAACTTTGCCTCTTCCTTGGCCGTGGCCTCCTCCAGCAAGATGGACTTGCCCAACTTGGAGCACATGATCAAAGTTCTGCCTCAGAAGGCCGAGGCACCTTCTACAGATCCCGCCCCCCAGCTGGTGACGGACCAGCCAGAGAAGGAAAAGCTCCCTAAGGACTTGCTGGAGAAATCTCTGGAAACTGAGGAGTCACAGAAAGCTTGGAAGCAGGAAGACAAGAACTTCTTCCGCCCTTACCTGGATTTCAGCAAGCCGGGGATCAAGAGGGCCACCATAAAAGGAGAAGTGCAGCTTCTCCAGCAGCCGGCCAGGTCCCCTCCTCCTAAAGGAGCCGTGAAGGGGTAAGTGAGTCTGGCCCCCAGCTTCCCGCAAAGGGGGTGTGCTGGGATGTGTGGGTGGGCCCACTCCTCATGCAGCTGGGTAGGGGTGGGGAAATGGAACGAGGGGCTAGGGAGGGGACGGGGACGGGGTGGGCTGTGATGTCTCAAACTCAGTGACCTCATAAAGGCTGCTGGAAACAAGGTTCCGGTGGACTGAGGGGCAGAGCCAAGGCCAGGGCTGGAGGAGGCCCGGGGACCATGGAGGGTGAGCACTTCTGGGCCCAGGCAAGGACTAGCATTCTAGCATTAGGAAGCTCAGTCCCCCAGAAGGCAGGTGGCCTCACCTTCATGGGCCATGCTCCGGCTAGCCTCTGTCCCACTGAGGACTCGATGGCCCAGGGCCCAGGATGCCTCCTTGGAGCAGAATGTGAGGGGAACAGTGCTCTCCAGCACCCCTGGCTTCCTGGTGATGAATGGACATAACAGAGAGCCAGCCTGCCCAACCGCGTGCTACAGGAAGAGGCTCTCTTACCCCCCCACCCCCAGGCCCTCCTTGCAGAGGCGTCTGGGTTCAGCCCCCTCCCCGACCCTGCCACTGGGGCCCAAGTGACACTCTCTCTTTTGCGTTGCAGCTCGGTGCCAGGAACCAGGAAAGGGAGTCCATTATTGCTGAAAATCCATTTTAAGATGTCGTCCCCCACTTCCCCAATGAAATGACTAGACAAAACCAGTAAAAGCCTCCAGTGCTGGCCCCCCGGCTCAGACTTTTTGTGCAAATGCTCCCGGACTAGTGAGCTCACGTGGCTGCGGCGTCCTGATCTCAATTTCTTAAGGATGCCGCCCTCCATGGGTTTTTTTCTTTCAAGACTTTATTTCAATTCTAGTTAGTTAACCCGTCCTGTAGTACTCGTTTCAACCCACCCCTATTTTTTTAGCTGCCCCAGCCCACCTGCCCACCCTGTCCCTGAGGGCTCTGCCAGCCCTATTTGGCCCCTCCTCACTCCCTTCCAGAACTCTCAGCCAGTGGCAGAGACTCATGACCCTGTCTGAGGCTTCAGGTGTCTTTTCTTTTCTTTTTTTTTTTTTAAGATTTTATTTATTTATTTGACAGACAGAGATCACAAGTAAGCAGAGAAGCAGGCAGAGAGAAAGGGGGACGCAGGCTCCCTGCTGAGCAGAGAGCCCAATGCGGGGCTTGATCCCAGGATCCTGGGATCATGACCTGAGCTGAAAGCAGAGGCTTTAACCCACTGAACCACCCAGGCGCTCCGTCTTTTCTTTCTTTCTTTTTTTTTTTTTTAAGATTTTATTTATTTATTTGACAGACAGAGATCACAAGTAGGCAGAGGCAGGCGGGGGAGGGGTGGGAGCAGGTTCCTTGCTGAGCAGAGAGCCCAATGCTGGGCTCAATCCCAGAACCCTGAGACCATGAACTGAAGGCAGAGGCTTAACTCACTGAGGCCCTTAGGCGCCCCAAGTCTTCCGGTGTCTTAGGTCATGAAGTGGGTCTTCCTCTTGGCCTGAAGCCAGGGACATTTTGGGATCATCTTTGGAGAGGGCCTCTGGGGGGTGGTCTGGCCAGGTGAGGAGGCAAGTCTGAAAGGAATTCTTCCCACTTCTGTCCACAGCGAGGGCCTGGTATGGGGAATGGACAGTGCCCAGGGCCTTAAAGGAGGGGAAGAGATAAGCCAAAGGACTGCCCCTCCAGGGGCCACACAGCCTTGAGCTACAAGTATCTCAAAATGTAGGGGCGAGCCTGAATGTAATGGTGTACTTCCCTGTGCAACCCAGACACACTTACACACGTATACACCTACCCTCTGCTGACTCACGCACCACGCGGGCACGCACAGACACACATTCACTCACAAGACAGTTCCACACTGGCCATGTGCACAAGCACACATCAACACACTTGCCTGTGCGCCAGACACGTGTACTAAACATGCACGTGAATGCACAAGCCTTCCCACGTTGAGGGAGGACAGGCAATGTGGGAGAGCTGGCAGCAAAGGGGGGAAGGGAATTCAGAATGTGGGAAGGGACGCGGGTGTGAAAAGGGAAGAAGGGGAAGGGAGAGCCTCGCTTGGGCCCCGTCAGCCTCCGGACCCACCAGCACTAAGGCTCCAGGTGAAGACCCAGCCTTGCTGATCCTTAGAAGCCTGCCCACCCAGGCCCTAGGAGGGTGGGATTAGGAAGGGATGAACAGCTGGGAATGGGCCAGGGCCAATGGGGGGGGGGGGGGGGTGCGCGTGGGGGGTGCGGAGACTGAAAAGAGGAAGGAGGAGGAGATATGGAGGTGAGTATCTGGGGAGCGGCTGGGCTGTTGGAAGCATCTTCTTGGAGTATTTTGTGAACTGTGGTTTGTAAATTTGCATGGTTTGGAAGAGGAGACCCTTCCCCGCCAGGAGACCTGGGGTAAGGTGGGAGTGGGCCCCAGCCGACTGTACCCCTCCTTCCCATGCCCTCACTTCCGGACTCTAAGGCCTTCTTCTCCCTGGGCCTCTGTCAGCCTATGTTAGCGTCTGGAGTGCAGTAGCAAATTCAGATGCCTTAAGGGGAGCAGAAACTGAAGTGTAAGGCAGCAGGCCCCCACCCCCTGCCAGAAGAATCGGGCCTGTGGCGAGGGACAGAGTGCCCCGCTGCCAACAGCTGCTAAAACAAACCTAGGGGCTGAGGGGCCGGGGCACTGGACCAGCCTCAAGTCTGCGACTCCGCCTTTCAGGCAGCCGAAGGCAGAAGACCAAGAGATCCCCGACGTTGGCACAGGGAACGTACAGGTAACCGGGCTGGCAAAGGGTCTGCTGGGACAAGCTACTGTCCGCAGAATCCCCCTGTGGGCACAGGCTGGTGTGGGGGTCCTGGGAGAAGGTAGAGCTGAGCCTGAGCCCCCACACGCCTGGTCCCAGGGCCCTCCTCCTCCCCTCCTAGTCTGAGCACTCAGGCAGGCCGGCCCCTCACCCCTGTCGTCTTCTGCCTCCAAGGTCCCCACAGCAGCCTCGAAGACTGCCCACACAGGACCCAGGAGGGGAGCAGGGCTGCAGGACACAGAAGGGGAGGCCTCAGCAGCCCGCTCCCCCACTGAGCCCAAGGGAGCCCGCATCCATCAAAGGCGTAGGGGCCGAGCAGTGCTCCCAAAGGCCCAGGGAGTTCAAGCGCCTTGCAGCTGCCAGCTCAGTGCGGTCAGGCTCCGGGTCTCAGCGGTAAGGGCAGGGAACAGAGACCAGGTCCAAGGTGCGGGGTTTGGGGTAAGGCCTGCCAGGCCCCGGCATCTTTCTGCAGCAGGTGCAAAGTCCTTTCCACCCTCTTCCTCCTGAATCAGCTCTGCAGAGGAGAGCCTGCTGCCCCTGACAGCCCGACTGCTGGCAGGTGAGGCCCGGGGACCGGGAGCGGAGGAGAATAGGGGGGTGCTCCCGGCAGAACGACAAGGGGTGTCCTCCCCAGAGACTGGGGTTGTTGTGAGAAGTTGGTGATCATGTAACTCTCCCTCAATGCCAGTCTAACTGGCTAATCTTTACAATTCCAGGGCTCACTGATGTGTGTGTGTGTGTGTGTGTGTGTGTGTGATGGGTGGATGGACTGCACAAATGAAAGATGAAAGAGGGAGGAAGGAAATTGGGAGAGAGGGTGGGGAAAAATAATCTGAGTTCCCTGCTCCCCCCCAGAGTCTGGAGCTGTGGGGTCTACGTTTGGGGGCCCCAAAGCCACGGTACCGCTGGCGGGGGCCCGTTGAAGCAGTCATTTCACCCACCACCAGTGATCTTCAGCTCCTGCTCCCTGCCAGATGCCAGCCGGGCTCCGTGAGCCTCTGAGCACTGAGCCCCAGAGCCGGAGTCCGAAGCCCAGCACTGCCCAGTCTACTGGTGGTGTGACCTTGACATAAATGCTGAATGTCCAGACATGAGTCTTGGACCTGAGACTTTAATGGGGACTTGACAAGGGCCAACACAGCAGCCACTGCTGTTCTTAAATGTTCTCATGCCCCCGCGGTGGGAATGACCCAAGTCCTTAGTCCCGTTACGAGCTGGAGTGGGCGGACGTCCCGGCCCCTGCGTGCCGTCCCCCTTGCTGCCTGCCTCCCTCCCCGCCCACAGCGTTCCAGGAGATCTTCAAACTGTTCAGCTCCGGCCCGACAGGCTCTGTGGACATGCGCAGCATGAAAGCCACCCTGCGCAATGTGGGCATCCAGCTGAGCCCACAGGAGATGTGCGAGGCCCTGCAGCAGGCAGACTTGGATGGTGGGCGCCCCCCATCCCTGGCCTTTTGTCCTCCCTCACTTCTAGCCCCGGACAAGGTCTCCTTTGCCCACAGAATCCCCAGCCCAGTCCTGTTTTAGAGTTTCCTCTTCCAGGAAGCCTGCTCTGATCAACACACCTATCCCATAGCCCTAAGCCTTTCTGCTGTGTTAATCCTCGTGACTGGGGGAATCCCCCAAGGCAAGGGCTATTTCTCCCCCATTCCACCTGGGTTGACATTTGCCTGGAGGTGGGACTGGATTCTCTAGTGTCTGGAAGGAGCTGCAGACACACCCCTAAAGCACATGCAGAGTGAGCCTTCTGCGGGGGGGAAGGCACCGCCAGTGCCCCTTCCTCTCTCTGTCTCCCCAGGTGATGGAACCGTAAGCTTCAAAGACTTCCTGGGTGTCCTCACGGACAGCTACCGCCTGGCTCAGTGCTTGGGTGAGGGGCTAGGCTGGTGGGGGTGGGAAGGGTCCGGACCAGGGGAAGCTCCTCTTCACATGCCCCCCCAACCCCGATCTCTGTCCCCAGGCCACGTGAGGAACAGCCAGTTCTGGGACCCCCAGGGCCTGCAAACCCTGTTCTTAGAGATGCTGTTCAAGCTGATGAACCAGGGCTTCCTGCCTCACAGGGTGGTGCAGGAAGTGATGAGGTAGGCCCATGTCCCCAGCTTCAGGACCCAGGATGGGGGAGCACTTGCTGCCCCCTGCAGGGGTCCCCTGAGGGAGACGGGAGCCCTGAATGCTGGGTCAGTTTCCTGTGGCCTCCTGTCCTGAGCTGGTTTCCCCACCTGTGAGATGGAGAAGACTGGGGGAGGCGGTGTCTGACGAGGCTGCCCCCCACTTGTCCCCTCAAGCTACTACACCAAGAAGCAGCGGGCTCTGCGGCTGAACCCCGGCTGGAAGGGCGGGTCCCGAGGGCGCAGCAGCGCGGGGCGCCCTCACGTGGGCCTCACCTTCTTCTGCCAGGCCGCGCGTCTCAGCGGCCTCTCCAGCGCCGAGCTGGAGCGCTCCCTGCACAGACTACACAAAGCGGGTGCGCCCTGGGCCAGGCGGGGACCCGGCAGAGGGGGGACCCTCCCTCAGGGACCTGCTGTCCGGAATAAGCCTCTCCTTTTCCTCCCACCGGCTTCCCCGGGCCAGGTGCGCACAGCCCCTACTCTCAGATACCTAACTTGGCCGTGTGGACACCCCCAGAAGACGGGATGTGGCACCGAGTCCCGCGCCCCAATGTCCGACTTCCCAAGTCCTGCCACTCCAGCCGCCACAAGCTCGCGCCCACCCAGAGGTCGCTTAGCCCGGGTGAGAGCAGAGCGAGGGGGCGGGGCGGGGCAGACAGGGGAGGGGCAGGCACTGCGTGCGAGCCGACTCCAGGACACCGAGAGGAGGCCGCGGAGTAACCTGGGATCATGCAGGGACGTGACCAAGGCTGGGGCCGAGTCTCAGGAGGCGGAGACGGGGCGGGGCGCGTCGACAGGAGGACTGAGGTGGGGCTAATCCGGAGTCTCAGAAGGGGAGCTGCCGGCTTGATCCTCCCCACAACCCCTCTGCCCTCCCACAGAGTTCGTGGGCCAGCCACTAGACTATCTGCGCCCCTCGAAGATGATTCCTTCCCCCCCAACTCTAGTGCAGAAGCAGCCCTACTCCCCTTCGCCAGCCTGTTTGCAGAAACCTGCTATGAAAAAGTAAAGCATTTGCGGAGCAGAACAGCCTGCGCGTGGTGGGGCGGGCACAGAGCGGACGCGGATCTTTTGCAAACATCTTTATTAATCTTGTATAAAAATAAGGTCCGTGGAGAGTTTCCGGAGCTGGGGATAGAGCGCGAGGTTGCACTTTATAAGTTACAGGCCAGGCTCCGGCTGAGGCTAAGTACGGCTGTTAGGGAGAGGGGGTGCCGCAAGCAGCATTTGGGGGAGGGGCTGGCGATGCTGTCCCCCCCATGCCCCCGCACCCGACCGCCTGAGGTGGGACCATCGCGGAGAATGGCAGCAGCGGCAGAGGGGGCTGCCCGGCCCAGCCGAGCTGAGGACCACCTTCCTTGGGCCCCCCTGCTTGCCATCCCCCATTCGCCACTGAGTCCTTGTGCAGAAACAGAAGTTACAGCGAGAGGTCCGAGGTGACCTGCAGGGGGGGTCCTGGGGGGCGCCGGCGAGCGCTTCTGCGGCCTGTGTCTGAGCGGATGTAGGGCTGGTTCCGCAGATCTGGCAGCCAAGAAGAGAGACACTCACCCTTCCGAAGTCTGCCCCGGGGTTAGGACCCTAACTCCAGGCCACAGGCCTCACCCTTGTAGGGACCCCGGTTGTGTGTATGTGGGAAGGGACCTGTTCATGTTTACCAGACCCTGCTCAAGCACACCCCAGCCACGTGTGGCCCCAGGGAGGGCAGCATGACCCAGTCCCCCGAGGGCCCCCAGGGCTGTGGGCAGCTTCTGGGCTCAGAGGCCAGGCTACCCAGGTACCTGGGGGCTAGAGAGGGATCTCTTCTCCCAGGCTGGCCTCACAGAGGAGCCTGGACGTCCGCTTGCCGGTGCGGGCCGTGAAGGGCACCGTCTTGAGCACTGAGGGTTGGGAGGGAGGAGGGAGGAGAGAAAGGAAAAAAGATAGGAAAAGTAGCAAGAAGCAGTGAGGCAGCCAGACCCCTAGGGTTGGGGTGGGGGGAGAACAGCATTAGAAGGACAGACAGAGGATAGAACAGGCCCAGCCAAAGCCTCACCTGTGATGATATCTTCAATGGCCCCGTCGCGGTCACTCTCGTAGATGAGTGGCTCCTTCTGCTGCTTCCGCTTCAGCTCAGAGATGAGGTCCATCTGCGGCCGCCGGGCCTTGGGTGGTGATGAGGGAGTGGGGGTGGTCACGCAAGGTGTACAGCTGCAGCTCCAGGATCCCCTCTCCCCAGGCCACCAAACCCCAGAACACCTGCCGGCCTGGTGCCCCATAGCAGGCTGGAGCAGAAGGAAGCCATTCCTGTCCCAGGCTGCTGGGGCAGGGTCTGTTCCCAGACATGAGGGTACGAAAGAGGCCTGGGTCTTTGGGATGGGTATCCCTGCAAAGCACCGAGCTCAGGCGCAGCCACCTACCTTCGGTGCTGGGGCTTCCTCTTTGCTGGGGGCGTCAGCGCCTGCCTCCTGGGCTACTGCTTCCTTCTTCCACTGTTCCACCTCCTGCTCGGCTTTCTGAGGGGCAGAGGTAGGTCTCCGTGAGGGGAGTCTTATCCCGCCCCTGGACAGAAGCATCCCTTACCCTTCACGCTGGCCAGGTGGAGAGGCCGGAAGGCCCCACAGGGGTCCCAGCCTGCCCACCAGACACACATACCTTGTAGGCCTTGATGAAGCGGCTAAAGAGGGAGAAGAACATGGAGGGGGACGTGGTCTTGGGGTTCTCTCCGAAGTACTCCACCACGGACTCGTAGGCCTCCTGTGGGCACAGCCCGTCAGGCCTGCCAGCACCAACCCCTAGGAGCTCCGGGCGCCTTTAAGACACTGGCCGCTTCATCTCTGCTCCCCGAGGCAGGTGGGCCCCCTGCCACCTCCCCCCACTGTGTCCCTGACCCAGGCCTTCATCCCCCACCTCCCCACCTCCAGGACCCAGCCAGCCCTGGCCCACCTGAGCGGTCTTGCTGTCTGCCAGCAGCTTGTCCATGGTGGGCGAGTTGGCCCTCAGGAATTCCTTGAGCACCGTGCAGTCATCCTGCCGCACAAACTCTCGCTGGGTCAACTCCAGGCCTCTCTGCAGGGAGCGCACATCCCCCAGGACGCTGTCCAAGGACACTGGGTGGGGGATGGGGCAGCACAGAAGTAGGGAATCAGAGAGGTGGCATTCTTGTCCGATGACACCCTGTGGGCCCCTCACTTCTCCTCAAACCCCGATCAGTCCCCGGGGCTGAGCCCCTCCCCCCACCCGAGGAGGGGGGACCGGCACCCATACCTGAGCCTGCCTTGTCCAAGAAGTGCAGGTCGCTGTGGAAGCCCGTGAGCTGTGGGTACTTCTCGGCAATGACCTTCACCAGGTAGTGCAGCAGCGTCTGCTTGCGGTCAGTCGACTTCATCTCCAGCAGCTGCGTGCAGGCCTGTCATCAGCCACGGGCCACCAGCTGTTCCCCATCCCCACCCCCAGGCCAGGGAACCCCTCCTCGTGCCCCTCACCACATCCAGACTTTGGAGCCGGAAGCCATAGGCTGCCCCACGCTTGCTGCTGTTCATATAGTTGCCAAAGGCCAGGACAATCTGGAGAGGGGGTGGAAAGGGAGATGTTCAGCAGGACGCCGGGGCTGAGGAAACCCCCTCATGTATACACTGCACGAGAAGACGTGCCAAAAAGCCAGCCCCAATGGTGAGTGCTGTGAAGTGTGTAAACCTGGTGATTCACACACCTGTACCCCTGGGGATAAAAATATATTATATGTTTATTAAAAATAAAATTAAAAAAAAAAAAAAAAGCCAGCCCCACACACTCAGCCCACACTGCACTCGTGCATGCACCCCTCAGGCTCATGACCCACGTACAAGCCTGTGCACCTGTCTGTCCTATGTGCCTGGCATACCCAATGTTTTTTAAGATCTGATTTTTAAGTAATCTCTACACTCAACGTGGGGCTCAAACCCACAACCCAACATCAAGAGTCACATGCTTGGGGCGCCTGGCTGGCTCGGTTGGAGGAGTATGTCCCTCTTGACCTTGGGGACATGAGTTCGAGCCCCACATTCAGTGTAGAAATTTCTTCAATAAATAATTATAAATAAACTTAAAAAAAAAATGTCGCATAATACTCAACCGACTGAGCCAGCCAGGTGCCCCTCAGCGTACCCAATTTTGTCCTCTGCTATTCCTACCCGGAACTGCGCTGCTCACATTCCCTCAGTGTGTCACCATCTAACAGCCATTTCTACTGGCTCCCAGAGACTCTGCTAGACTCCACTGAGCAGGTGTGGGTGCTCTGCTAATCACACAGTGATCCCCAGAGGGGACTTGGCCCTCAGGAGAAGTCTAAGGTACGCTGCTGTAGACATGACTGCCACCCCTGCCTTAGTTCTTTCTACATGAGAATTGGGAACATAACTGTTGCATGCTAGGAGTGCAGGGCAAGGCCGGGGTCTCCCTCTCGCAGCACCCGGAACAGGCAAGGAGTCATGGGTGGGCCCCACTTCCCAGGCCCTCGCGCTGGGCACTCACCTCCAGGATCTGGCGGAGCTTGTCAGAGGACTTGATGGACATTGAGGCTGCGATTATGGCATTCAGTTGCTGGCGGTGCAATGGGAGAGTCGAGATAAGTTGGGGCAGGGTGGGGGGCAAGGCCATGGGAAGTTCAAGTACTCCTAAACGCCCCCTGGGGGAGTGGAGGCTGCCAGCTGCCTTGCTTCCACCCAGAACACACCATCCACCCAGAACACATGCCCTGCCAGCCCCGCCCACACCACCCTGCCCCGCCCACACCGCTCTGCCTGCCCCGCCCACACCGGCATGAGCAGCTGGACAGTGTCCGGAAAGTTGCCCAGAAAGGTGAGCGTGGCCATGCGCTCCGGCAGGCGCGGGATGCGGCTGAAGCGTAGCATGAAGCGGTCCTCCTCTGACAGCTCCTCCATGGGTCGCTGCTCCTGCTCAAAGCGGGCGATCAGGCTCCGCTCGTACTCCGTGGGCAGAAAGCGGGTCAGTAGCTCCAGGAAGTCCAGGCCAAGGGCCTGTAGGTCGTACCTGGTGGAAGTGGGGTAGTTATCGCTCTATACCCACCAGTTCTTGAGGACAGGACTAACCACCCCCCCCACTTTCTCGACTGAATAAATGAACTTCAGTATTTGCGATTTGCCAATAACTTCAAGGACCAAGAGGTAGCAGTCAGGTTAGTTGGGAGTTGGGAAGCCACAGGTCCCTATCATACAGTAGGGACAGATGCCCAGCTGTAAATGCCAGGGCCTGAGTGCCCATAGCTGGGTAAGGAGGCAGGGAGGAAACAGGAATGTCTCCGTCTGGGTGTGGACTCGCATTATGGACTGTCTACCAAACTGTCTGCCCCGCCCAGTGGACTCAATTTTCTCTACCTGAAAATAGGAACAAGGTTCCCAACCCTACTTCCTGACCAGGGTTAGCATGAAGCTTGATGGGCTCTGCCCCATGGCTGGGGACTGTTTTACTGATAGCCTGATGGCCCCTGCCTAGTAGAGGGGATGGGTTTACTCACAAGCACAGGGCAGAGGTACTCACGTCTCGATGGCCTGGCAGATGCGGTCAGCCCCCAGGTTGCCCTTGCGCAAGGTGATCGCCAGGTTCTTGGCCCGGTTGGCCTCAATGAGGGTGGCCTTGCTGGGCGCCTTCTGGGCTGCCTTACCCTTGAGAGCACTGAGGTCTAGGCTGGGACCTTGGGACTTAGTCTTGAACTGCTCCTCAAAGTCACTCATGTCTAGCTCCTGAGGACACAGGGAGAGGAGGTGAGGCTGGGCCAGCTGGGGTCTGCTACATTCCTAGCTGAACCAGCCATCCAGCCCTGACCACACCACCAGCAGTGAAACAAACCAGTAACCCAGCTCGACCTGGATGGGGGAGACAGGGGGAGAACAAACAGCATCGAGGAGGAAGAACAGCACCCAACCCTGGGGACCTGCACTCCAAGCCCTTAGAGCTGAAGGAAGAGCTGAACTGGCCAGGGGTAAAAAGGGGAAAGGGAAGGGCATTGCAGGCAGAAGGAACAGCATGAGCAAT